ATCTGGTTTCACAGAAGGCAATATATTAATGATACCTATGATTTCTGAAATTAGTAAACAAACCAGTACAGGGTTTAAAATTTTTTTTATTTGTCTATATGAAAACAAGAAAGTCCCTAAAAATCGCAGTTATATATTTAATAAAGTGCTTTTATTGAAAAAGAATAAAGTTACACAAAATCAGGAGCAACCTGGAGCATCTTGAGCATTTAATTACTGTAAGAATATTAGATGGATAAAATCCATTTTTGTGTTAATGCATAAGTATATTCATATTAATCTTAATAATAATAAATGAAGGACCTATTATGTGCCTAGCGTTCTATATACATTACTTCATATAATATTTATAACAAGTCTATGAAATTTGTCCTTTTATTTCCATTTTACAAATAAGAAAATAGAGGCTGAAAGAGATAGAGTAATTTATCCAAAGTCACATAGCTCCTTAGGTTAGATCCTGGTTTCAAATAGTTTTATCTCAAGAGAAAGAAAAACCACATTTCTTTATCCTCTATATGCTACGCTGTGTGGTTTCTCCTCTAAGCTTAACTTTCCTTTGGCTAATTTAAGAAGAGAATTGTAGAAATGTGGAAAGTCCCCCACCCCTACCTCCTCTGCTTGTGGCCATTGCTTTGTTCCGGAGGAAAGAGGATAAACTTTGTTAGATGCCACCAGCCCAGAATGGCGAGAAGAGACATGAAATAGGATGAGGCAAGAAAAATGACCTGACTTACAGAAGAAAGCATTCTGAAAGGGAAAGAGACAGTTGCTTGGATTCAACCATGAGCTCACACTGCCCTGGTGGCTCATGCCATTGTCCTTGGCAGACCCCTCTGCTTATTTGTGTTCTCTCTATCCAATATGGATCTTAGAACAGGATTCGGCCAGTGCTGCTGAATTCAAAGGCACCTGAACCAATAGCTGTGTTCTATTTCAAATTGATTCTTGCTGGGACTGAGCTCTCTGATAGACGAGTTAAGAGACATTTTTAGGATCCCAGCCAAAGTGGGCTAGAGTAATGGAAAGGTTCCACGGACTCAGTAGACTTGACATGATTTAGAAATGATGGTTGAATGAAGTGAAAACTGATATTTTATTAAAAAAAAGTATTTTGGGGTAGATGGACTATTTAACTCAACAAGAACTCTGAAGATACCTGCCCTTTAGCTTCGGGTCTTTCAAATATTGGAACTACAGGAGCCAAAAATGATCTGTGCTCTCTTCCTAAGAATCTAATTAGTAGTTTTAAGCATCTAGAGCAGAGGTGGGCAACTTCTGGTCATTAGGTCAAATCCAGTTACAGATATATTTTGTGTGACTCTTACAGCTTTAGCCTACACAGTAACTGGGATTGCAAGCTTTGGACAAATCCTAAAATCAAGCCACAGAGGGCTTTCATTTCCTCAAGCAGTGAGTCTGAAATGAGGTCCCTCTTTTGATGCAGCATAGGCTTTCCAGTTTGCTCAGTGCCTTCCCCTCCCCTGACTTACTGAAGCTCCATTTATTTTTGTCATTACACTTCTACTGGGGATTTTCCTCTACTAGAGTGAGAGCTGTCTGGCTCCTGTACAAATGTGAGCTGGGGACGCCTGTAGGCATCTCAGGCACAGCTGGCAAGAGAAAATGAGCCCTCAGGTTGTTATTTACTGTAGCAAAGTTAACAGGAAAAATAGTCACTCGTAGCTCTTATTTTTTCTAAAGAAAAGTTTCAAATTATAGTTTTTTTAAAAAAATTATTCTATATTGTTATTTTTTCTTCTTTTCAGTAAAAATTAGTCAATTCAGTGGACACAAGCACATTTGAATCCCAACCTATCAACATCTTGTATAATTAAACTCCTCTGGGCTCTGCGCATACTTTTAAATAGCTCAGTCCAAAGAGAAGCCAGTAAAAAGGCAGAAATAAAAGTAAAAATCTACTGATGAGTGAATGATTGCAGAGAGGCATTTATGTGTTGCTCCTCATTTGACTTGAGTCTTAAAAAGATGAGATGAAACAAGTGAAGCAAAACCCCAAAACATTCTTTTAGTCTTGTGAGTTGAGGAAGGCCGTTTATGCAGGCCACTCCTAGACTAGAGTTTTGTTTGGGTAGTAGGCAATGGTAAGTACGTCTGGAAGACTGATATAACACTTTTTGAAAACACGTTTTTAAGGCTTCTCAATTGGCTACTGAATTATTCCAATGCCGGTTAAGCTTTATAGCGATCAAATGAGTAATAGCTCCATGAAGCAATCCAATCACTCATCGTTCATCACCCTCCTATACACCTAACGTGTGCATAGGTTTCACTTTATGAAATGCAATGACTCATACACTGGTTTGGTATTTACAAAGAAATACTGGACTTGGTAACAACTTTTAAGGAGCTGTCTGGATATGACTAAGTCAATAAATCCATTTTACAAAATAACAAAACACCAAATATTGGCAAATGTTGGTAGTAATATTGGTAAATATTAGTATAATGATATTAGTAAACTTTATTTTTGCATAGAAAAGTCCATTCGTAAACAGGGCCTAGTTTCTTTCTCAACTCAACCCTGAGAAATAGGTAGACAGGTGAGGAAATTGACTATCTAAGCTTTTGTGACCTAACGTCACATAAGTAGAAAACAAGGAATCTGGGACTACAGCTCAGGAATTCTGACTGATTTCAGGATCTTTCCATGACATCTTGCTGTATAAGCCTTGGGGAACAGTAAATGCTCTGGGCTATTGGGAAGAAAAGAGATATGTGCAGCCCAAGATGTGACTTATTTTCTTTGCCTGGTTTTAGCGCTATAGAATATAAAGAAATACAAAATGTCATTATTATTGTTTTACTTCATCACTATCAGGGGATCTGCAAATTGAGTTGGACAGAACATTTCAGTTTAATGGAGATTTTCTCTGTTTTTCTCAAGAGTGAGTCTGAGAGTTTCTCTGATAAAATGGAGAACAGCTGCTCGCTTCTGAGAACTAACCACAGCCCACAACCAAGCCTGATAAGAAATCAGAAAAGGAGTGTCTTATTTGAGCAAAAGTGTCGTAAGATCATATGGTAGAGACTACAGGCAGAGAGTGGGCAAGATGCATGTATTTGAAACAAGGTGACTCCAGCTTTAAAATCCAAGGACAGATATATGTTAGTAAGTGGAGAGAGTGCTGTACTGTGAGCAGAAAACCAAGAGAATGAGTGGTAAAATTAAACACATTCATAAGGCAAGTAGAGGAAATGATCAAAATAACCACCGAAGAAGAGTCAAGTTTAAATCTAGCTGTTTTTTTTTTCCTTCCGGCAATATGTTGACATTATTGAAACCTCACATCAGTATTTTCTAAAACTGTAGATCTCTTAGGTTAGACAAGAAAGAATCAAGGGAGTGGGTCTTCCAAAGAGAGGTGGCATTGTGCAGAGAGGAATTCGGTAGCCAAGAAAAGAAATGGAGCTGATGGGTGGGACATTAAGGAAACTGCCAGAGATTTCTAGTAATGCAAATGTGGAGCACTCATATTCTTGTTCTTAATATGTAAAACTGAAATAATAATTCAAAGCACTGTTTTGAGAAATAAAGAGATAATTAGCAAAATTCCTCAAAAATAGTGAGGGCTAAATAAACTCTAGCTATTCTTTTTTCTACACATGCTTTCTTAAGCCCTCCTGTATTGCTAGAGAAATGTGGTTTCAATAAGGAAAAATTATGACAAAATACCAGACAGGAGTAAAAGGATCTCAAAGTCTGGCAAGAAGTTAAATCATTTGCCCAGCATTGCTTAGCTAGGAGAGCTGGACAAACACCAGGCCTGTTTCATTCCAAAGCCCCTGCTCTTTCCTCTATAAGTGAGGTGATCTGCCAGTGACTGAGAGGTGATAATTACATTTATAATTTCCTTTGCTTTCAAGTTTCAGACTTAAGCCGTAGTACCTCCATCCCAGTGGAGGGGCTCCTGTAAATGACTGCAGTACCACAGCGTAACTTAAATACTCTGGTCCTTCTCTCCCTTCCCTCACTGGTTAGAAGTTTGGGGTAGGGATTGTATAGAGCCCAGCACACTCTCACCACGAATCCAGGACCCAGGGCCACTTCTCAGTTCCCCCATCACAGCTCCTGCCTGCCTCAGGCCACCAGCTGAGCTGAATTTGAACCCCCGCTGGTGAGGACACTGCATCATACTTAGCACTCCAACTGCAGGTAGTAAAATTACTATTTCAAAGCCAGGGGAGAAAGCATAGTGAGAGGAGATGTTGGACTTGCTGAAAAAGAATATTTTTCTGGGTTTTTCTTCCCTAAATGGGGGAAACGATATGTGGGAGGAGAAAATACTCAAGGAAATATGGTATGGTGGTGAGAGTCTGTAATATGAGCCTGGTGTCTCAAGGGAAATTTCTTACATTTGTGGCCCCTGGGCAAAAATTAACCCATCCTGATTCTATATTTCTCCCTCCCAGACTTGGCTGGAATCCCAGACAGAGGGTGTTTTTAACACGTCCTCTGCCCCTCCCTTGTGGCTTGTGTGCTGTGTGGTAGGATAGCCCCTCTTTCCAGTTTCTGTTCCTGGGTAATGACCGAAAGAGGTCAGCTGTAGAGAAGACATAGGTAAGGACCAAGTGTACATTCGAACCTTTGAACCAATCCAGCCAGTGTCAATAAGGAAGAGAGTGTAAAGTTTCCCGGATATGGCCCAAATCAATTTAGTCAGTCTAGGAGACTAATTACAGTCACTCAAGTCCCTCAGCGGTGTGTGCAGTCATGCATCGGAGCTGTGATCCCAAGGCAGTCGAGACTTACAAGAGCTGCAAATGTGGTCAGTGGAAATGAACTCTCAATTCAGCTCCACAGCACGTGACTTCCTATTCTGTAAGGTACTTCCAAGGGACTTCCTCTGTACAATCAGCCAGCGTCCCAGGAGATTTCATTCAGCACCGTAGCGAAGTTTACTTCCAGCCCGGGACAGAAGTTTTCTCCGAGATATGGTGTTAGTTTCTTTTCTTTCTCTTTCCTCTGTCACTGCCAGCATGCAAGGATCTTGTGGCTCCCGTCCGTGATCGGAAGCTGAATACTCTGGTGCAGATCTCAGTAATCCACCCCGCGGAGCAGAGTCTGACAAGATACTCGAGCACGGAAATTGTGGAGGTGAGCATGCCGTCTGCCTGCGTTACTCTCACGCTCGCGCTCTGTCTCTCTCAATCTCTCTCTGGATCTGAGCAAACAGCTAAAATAAGTTAGTTCATGCCCTGTAGCTACGCTGTTACTGTCCTCTGTCATTTGGGAAAGCATACCTGAGGTTATTAAGCATGCATTGGTAACTTACCAGAATAAACAAACGGAGGAAGAACGTGCCTTTTTCATAAACGATCGTATTTTTCCTTAGTAAATAAAAAAATTTCCACGTTGAATCCTCTAATAGAGCACCAAATAGAGAAAAAAAAAAAAAAAAAACCCGAATATTTTTAGCTTAAATGGAATGAATATTTATTTTTGGGAAAAGAAGAAAGTCATAAAGTTACCGAGCAAAGTTTTAAACCCACTAAGTATTTTTGCCCTTTTCACTTTTTCTTGTATTCTTCAGTCTGTCTGTGGAAACTTTATATTCTCTGCTGTTGGTTTCTTTTTTTAAAGTATGATTTTTTTCAAAGAAAAGTAGATGATTAATTTGAGAAACTAATGCTTCTAGGCAAAATGTGTAAATATTACTCATTAGATGAGAGATTTCCTATTTACATTTATTGTTAATAATATAATATTCAAAATGTGTCAGGTGGAAACTTGTTATGGTGTTGGATCAGATTCAAAAGAGGAAGTGTTTCCCTTTTGATTATTTTGTTCTCATCACACGTTTCACAACCTTAGTGAATGAGAGATATTTATTTGAGCATCTGGGACTAACGAAAGTGTATTCTAAACTCCTTACCTCTGCATGCTTTTCTTAGACTTGTGAGCCCTGTCTGTTTTGAATGAGGAGTTTCTCTGCCAGAAACTGAGTAGCCTACCCCAGGCCTGGCTTGCTCAGTGCTGACTGGCCCCTTGACGCCGGGTTGATGGAAGAAATGATTCAGACTAAACTCGACTCATTTCTTTAATGGGACTGACCCAGATCCTACATATAGCCTTGAAACTGCCCTTTTGGAACTTGAGGTTCCAATGTTGGTATAATTTGCAGTTAATGCTGTAGTCGAATTAACAAGAATAGTCTTATTCATGTAAAGAAAACTTGACTATGATTGTAAAATTGTTCATTTATATGGAAAACATTTTCAGGTATTATTCCAACTTAATTATTTTTTTAAATATTGTTTTAATTTAAAAGAAAGTATTTATTTTCACACGTTTCAAAATTTTATATTTGAACATATGTAACTTTTTGGCTGTTTTATTCACTGTCTAACACAGAGTGTAACCAAAAGTAGTATTTGGTGAGTGAAAAGAAGAAAGAGTGAATGAATAAATGAACAACTTGGGTTTTCAGACACTGCCATAGACAGATGGTTTACAGCACTCTAGCAAGTGCCTCAATAATATTTGGCAATATATATATTTAAATATAGTTATAAAATTTAATATTAGATGTCAGCTCTCTAAAAATGAATTTGGAGGCATGGAAATAGCCTCTGCTCTGCATCCTGAGCTAGTAATTTCATAGCCCCAAATCCATCATATTTAGTTTCTTTCATTAGTTTTCAAATCAGTCTGAGAAAAAAACACAGCTAAACATCTAAAAACAAGTGGATACCATCAGAGCATAGCTTTCAGTTGAATCACTATAGAAAGGAAATAAATGGACAGCATGAGATTACCAAATGGTTCTTTCTGAGAAAATAGCTTCATTTTAATTCAATCAGTCAATATCTTAGATTATTTGCATAAATTACAGGTTATATCCATTAAATGTATTCTAAATCGACTGACAACTGAGTCTAAAGAAGGGCTATGCATATAATGAAAATAAAGAGTTTTTCAAGACTATTCGCAGTTCTGACAACGATGCAGGGCCATTTACTATCAACAGCTCTATCAGTACTTTGGGGCCTTGGGCCAAGTGGTTGCCCAGGAGCATCACTTGGCAATTCAGCTCTGTCTTCTAATAGAACTACTTCCTAGAAAAACAAACAGACCCGGGCACACTTTCTGCATTCTCATATGTCACTGCGTGCTGCCGACTGCAGTTGCTGCCTTACTGAATCAAAGTTGTCTGCTTGTGCTGTCACAGGGAACAAGAGACCCACTGTTTCTGACTGGTGTCACATTCCCATCTGACTATCCCATCTATGAGGAGACCAAAATAAAGCTAACAGTCTATGATGTCAAGGATAAGTCTCAAGACACTGTAAGTACTTGTACTTCTTTCTTTCTTTGGGAAAGGGAATTATGCTTTTCTAAACTATTGGGTTTTTTAATGTAACTGGCATTTTTCAAAGAAAGTGTTTGTCCTGTGTTTATGTTTATAGTTTACTGGGATTTTTTCCAAATTCATTTGGCCTAGTGCCAAATTGGCAATTGGTTAGGAGCAAAAGCTTTCAAAACAGATTTTCCTCTTTTTCAGAAGGCTGGCTTGAACTTTTGGGTTACATTTTTGTTGTTTTAAGAGTTCCTGAAGGAGTAATATTGTGAGCAGAATGCAAGTGGAAGAGATTAAATAATGTTTGAAAACTTTCTAGGCATTGTAATTATTCTAAAACAGGGGATTGATAAAGTACTCTACTTTCACAGTTGGTTCTTTTACAACTGTATAGAGAGAAACTCCCTCTGTTTTCCTGAAGTTATTCCTGGCACCAAAGCAAGCAGAGGAGGTAACTGGAAGCACTAGGCAGAAGCTTGAATTGGCCTCTTTACGTGAAGGTCATGTAAAGTCCCTGTGGTCTGTTGTCGGAGATTCTTCAGTCTTCCACTTCCTACAGGCTCTGACTTTTCCTCCACTTGAATGAGACCTTATGGGTAAACAGTTAAGTACCCTGGCACTATCTCTAGAAGCCACTCTTAAAATTCTTGGACAGGAGGGAATGCTATTGGGTAGGTGTGGGGAACGGGATGGTTGAAAGGGAACCCTCTCCTTTAAATCTCTCCTGTTAGCATGAATTTTTGTCTGTTTTCAAGGCAGGGGGTTATGGGAGTCTTAATGGTCAATGGTGAAGCTCAAGCTAGAAAACGCTTTGAAGGCAGGTGGGGCAGTAGGTTCTGGGAGAGTACTGGTTGAAGCTAAGAGGGGCGGCTGGACTTGGAGAATCACGCACTACATTGTCTAGGTCTGGGGGAAAGGTGGCTTTAAACTCTGCCCTGCCTTCCCTCACTTAGGCATTTCTGCCCCACTTGACTATTTCTCTTCTTTCCATTCTTTACCACAAAATATATAACATAGATAGATGGTGGGGATGTCTAATAGAGAAAAAATATTCTATATTGGAGGAATTTCTACTCATCTTAGTCCCAGGAAAGTTCATTTGTTTAAAATTGCAGAAGAAATGCCTAATTAAATGCACAGCATATACGTAGACTAGAACAGTTATGGCAGTCCAATACAATTATCTAGAAGGCAGACTGGTTCCTATTCTGCTCACCAGCTTTGTGACTCTGGGAGAGTTAATTCTGGGTGTCTGTTTCTTCGTTTGTAATATTTACCTTGTGGGGTTGTTGTAAAGATAAAATAAGTTAATATATGTAAAATATTTAGAAGACTAACTGCTACAGATTAATTGATATGTGTAAATTGCTGCTATTATTATGGCAGTTAACATTTTGACTACTGCCTCACGGTCCCTCATAAATGGTAAAAGTCAAATAAGGGAATATTAACCAAAATCTTTTTCCATATTTAATTTGTTTTTTCTTAAGTTGTCCTACATTGATTATTTCTGACTTTAAAGAAGAGGGGAAGATAAAACTATTTTAAGAGACAAAAAATTGGGGTTAAAACTGGCAACTTTAAAAAAATGTTTGCTTGGAAGTTTGTTTTTTCCTTTCTCTTCATTCTCCCTGTTTTTGAGGTGACATGGAAAAGGAGTGGACTGCATTGGGAGATCAGGGACCAGGTTTGATAGACTGCACAAAGCCACTGGGCAAGGCTTCCTTTTTCTGCCATAGGAGAGAGAGAAATGGGGAGAACGGGGGAAAAATCATAAAGTTGGGAATGAGGGAGATACGGTTTGAGAGGCTGGTGGGAGGAGGTGATACAACTGGGCCAAGGAGAAAAAAAGCAGAGAAATGATCAGTATGATGGAAAACAAAGCAGCAACTACGGGATTTTATGTTCTTCCAAGCACATGATCAAATTCAATCCTCCCAATAGTGCCATGGCATAGACAGGACAGAAGATGGAAGGGTCACTATGCTACAGAGATGAAAATGTTGCCCCTAAACCCTTGGGTTTGTTAAATCCTTAGAAATATCAGAGTTAGAAATACTAAGTACCAAAGATGTTTCTGTCCCTTTCAATCTCCCTCATTTAAAATGTGCATATCTGTTAATGCTTTAGGGATAAATAATAAGCTTACTCATTAATTATACTTCTTGTTGGCTTCTATTCTGGAAACTAATTATTTAGGGTCTTTTAATGACTTTCTTCCTTGATCGGAGGTGTTATCATGTAAAAGTATTGGATGAACTGGAATTCCTGCTGTGAAATAAGACTTGTGAAATTTGAACATACTTAAGAAATGCAACCGGCTTTCATTTACCAAGTGCTGTTAATTAAGGCATAACCTCTTCCTTAAAATAACTGACAATTAGCTTGGTGATGGAAGTGTAAAGGGAAACACAGTTCATTAATATGCTAATAGTCCCCGGGGACATACAGTCCTTATCCTGGCACCTTTTCTCTCATTTCTTAAGTTTTTCTTTGGGGCAGAGTGGAGTGAGGAAGGGGGAAACAGGAAGTGGTTTTAAAGTACAATTTATAATTATGAGCACTTAGCAACCTAAATATTTTAAGATCATGATACTTTCAAAGCTTAAGAAATGAGATGATGAATATTTGTGTGTTTTGGAAAATTAATGAATTATTTACATGTATTTAAAAGTAGTTTGAATGTTTGATCCTGGCAAACCATTGATCATATTAGGCTGACCCAGGACAATGAGATCTTCTTTACTGGCTGAATACTAAGTAGTTGAGTCAGATGACCAACTTGCTTAACTTTTCCTATTGAGTTTATCATTACTAGGAGTTAACCAGTCAAACAAATTTGTTACTTTGCTGTTTCATATTCATTTAAAAACATATTAATATTAGATATTTTTAAAGAGAAATGATAACCTTTCATCTATGCAACTATTATCTAACAACTATTTGTTTTTCTTGTATTCTTCTAAATAACTGATCCTAAGGTTGATTATCTTACTTGTTCACTTCAGCAGAAATGCAATTAATCATTGTAATGAATGAGAAGAGTCCAACAGTTGATTCACAATGACTATTGTTTCCTCGTACTACATCCATCATCCTTCCCATTCATTGCAGTAAGTCTCCCTCTGTGGAAGATGGATAGAGAGCACTTGACAAGTGGGGAGATGGGTATAGTGGTGACTGGGTCATCCTTAGAATTAGAGTGACTTTTTTATTCTTTTCCTCAAGGAAAATGAGAAATGGGCTCTTTTAACATCCAGCTGTTTGATGGGGACTTTATACTTGAAATTGAATCCTGTGGCTAGGATATGCGAGCCCAGGTTCTAACAGGGAAGTTGCTATCTTCTGGATATAGGCTGGTTGTAGGCTCTATTTTAAAACTCCTAGAAACTGAAACAACATAGACAAAAGTATTTTTAGCACATCATTTACAGTCTTCAGCCCTAGGGAAATAAGCTGGGAATCTGGGTCTTTCAGATATTACAGAAAAACCTCAGAGGAAGGAGAAATCTATGAAGGAAAAGAACGTCAACAGCTTGGTCTCTCTTTCTCTTCCTTCCCATGCAAGTGGTGTTTTGGAAGGTACTGAGCAAGGCTCTTTCAACACCCAGCTGAGGACAGCCATTAATCTGCAAACATATAGTTAGGTCACAGGATTGATTTTGCTCATGGTGGAAATTTGAATTTCTGATGTATTTTGCAGTATGCACGTTGCCCCATTCCTTTCACTCTTAGAGTAAATAAGTGTTTGCTGTAGCCCCAGCTTGTTAGATGTTCAGCTTACAGGACAGAGTCCCTTGTCCAGGAGACACTGAACATTTCTCAGGTGAGGATATGTGTCCTAAGACAGTTTCTGTTACCAGTTACTAGCAATCTCCTGTTTATACCTTACGGAAAAAGTGACCTTATCAAGACTGGATGTAAATTTATTGCATCCTGTGTGTGTTACATGCCCAAGGCAATTTAGTTCTAGTACAATTCCCTAGACAGAAGTGTCCAGTTCAGTTTATATGTTTTTCTGTGGAAAATAAAACCATTTACATTTAGTGTACTTTGGCTTGGCTTGATTTTCTATATTGACATGTTAGAAGGTAAAGTCTAACTATAGCTATTGAGATACAAATTCTGTGAGCTGGCTTTCCTCTCTATCTAGAAGATACAGTACAGTAGGTAAGGAAAAAGAAATTAAGATTATTGGTCACTAAGTACATACTAAGCACTATGTTTAATGTATTATCTTAAAGTTTATGTTATATAAACTATAGTTTGTTATATTATAGCTATGATATGTTTATAACACAGTTATGTTATAAATATAATATATTATTGTTTCTTCTTTAATCTCCACAAAACTTCTTTGAGGGAAGTATTATTATGCCCCTTATAAAAAGAAGAAATCTGGATTCTGAAAACTTAAGTAGGCCAAGTTAAAAATCCTTTATTTTTTCCAGGCTACGCTATGGTACATATATTGTTGATAGGATTTCCCTCATTTTCACATCCCACAGTATGGTATTTTTTACTTCAACTGATACTTTAAAGGCATTCTTTATGTGGAGCTGAAAAATTGATTAATTGAGGAAAAAAGCCGATATTCCACTATAGGAAAAAACCCGTATCCAAAATTTGTAAGCACTTAAATTGAGGATGCATACCTAATTGCAGATGTCTAAATATTTTATAATGAAATGCCAACTACTGTTCATGAAAAAATAGCTGTTATTACCTGTTAAGTGGCTAAGTTTATGTCTCAAGCTTTTGCTTTTTGTCCCCCTGGCCTTGTTTTTCCCTTTTCTTTTATGTGTAAATACTATGGGGTCCTCTCAACCTGTTCCTTGACTCAGCCTTTGCCTTTTGGAATGCTCCTCTCTGTGTTATGATAATTCTCAAGGGGAGTTACTGATTCAATACAGAAGTAGTTCAGAGTTCTAGAATGTTGCTGCCTTTTGTAAATAACTTCACTACCTTTCTACTGGTTGGTAAGCGGT